TCCGCCTGGAGACAGCGGCTCCGCAAGGCGCGGTCTCGTCGTTAAGTGGAATTTCACTGAACGAGCTTTCATATTTTTTATTATTTCTTTCTGGCTGATACCCTCTTTGCCAGGTGCCGTTATTGACGCTGTTTTCTGCCGTCCTGCCTCCAGGACGTGCCTCGCAAGAACGGCGCGTTGAGCGCTCGTGCGTTGGGCTTCTGGAATAGTTTTCCGTTTCCGCTAAGCTCGTGCACGTGTATTTCATCCTAGTAAGTGCCAAGCTGCAAAAGTTAACAGGAGTTCCAAGAAAAACTTATCCTGGTGTTCACACTCTCCCCCACCGTTACTTGACCGTCCCTGTTCACGTGGGACGTGAGCGAAAACTTGCGTAGTTAGGGGCTAACTGCGTTTATCACAGAAAGACCATTTGCAGAGAAGAAGAGGAACGTCTGTTCAGTGAACTTTCTGACTGTGACTGACAAGGTTGCATGGGAAAGAAGGAATTTCTCTTCCTCCTCTTTTGGAGGGTAGAAAGGCAAACGATAGCTTTCTTCTGGCTCATGAATTGCAAGTTTGTCCACTAAGGCAGGCATTAATGAGCCAGTGGTCTGGAGGCCAGATAAAATTCTTCTGGAACTCCTATGACGGAGAGCAACTCAGAATTGCTGTCGCCGCCTCTGTAGATAGCAGAATACATGACTCAAGCTCTGCAAGGTAGTTTTAAAAGAGAACTTTCCTTGTCAGAGTTCAGAACATTTTCTACATGAAGTAGCCTAGGCAAGATATTAGAGGGTGGGGTTTTTTCTAACAGCAGTTGTTATGGTCCAGATTACAATTGAGTCACCATGGCTTAATGCGTCTGAGTGAACAGTTGAGCTGCTGCAGTCACGTGCTTTGTCACAGATACAAGGTGAAACGCCTACGCTTAACCTTTCTGACTGTTGAGGCGATGCATACTGATCAAATTGCGCTTTCCATCTTCTAGTACCTGCTCACTGTGGTGCAGGGGTTTCTTAGCTAAATAACTGACAACTATTTTCTATTTTCAACTTTGGCTTAACAGCATAAGCCCAAGTGGCGATGCATACAGGGTGCTTTCCTTTGTAACTCATACAGTTGTCATGCTGTACAGAGTTTTGTGCATTTAAGGTCTAATATCAGAACATTTGTCACTCTTCTTGTGTTTCTGTCCTTTTCGGTTTTAAGCTGTTGCCAGTACTGGGGCTTGAAGCCATTACGAACACTGTAGCCGGCCTTTGCAGAGCTGTTATCTCTGAATCAGCTGCTCAGGGAGGGGAGCTCAGAACTCGGCTCTACTAACTGAAGCAAGCAGGGCCAGACTGATCCCTGGGTTTGGGGAGACAACTATTTTGGAGTCTTAATCATCCCCTTATTTGATGCTGCTATCATGCAGTGGTCCTGTGCTAGTGGCTGTTGTAACCAGGGAAGATTCCCTACGTTATTTTCTGCTCTCCCTCAGTTCCTACTGTACATTATATATATGTACGTATGATTTTCTTTTGCCTTTTGTACCTTGACGTAGTTATTTGCGTCTATTTCAGAAACTTGCTTTAGGTTGGAGCTCATTGATGTCTTACTGGTTTTAAGGCATTTGGATTTAAAGGCTAGTAAAGAATAACAGGTTTTCAAGGCTAGAGCTATTCACATGGCATGTTCTGGTTTGAACTGGCCTGCAAGCAGCGTTTCCCAGAACAAGGATCTGCATGGACTTCGCATTCCTTCTGCTTTCCCAAACTGAGCCGTGTGCACCTCTTTCAGTAGGGAGCTGGGTCCTAATAACAGGGAGCATCTACACAAGGCCATCATTGTCCTTTCCATAAAGGTATGCAGTAGAGCTAAACTCAGAAAAGCTGGGCTGGCTGGAGACCTGTTTTATACCTATACAACAGCTGTTTGTGAAACACAAAACAGAAGCTAGCCTGGCTTTTAAAAATGTGGTAAACAAAACAGAAACTGCTTGTAATTAACAAATTTATAGGAAATCTTTCAAATCTGACAGCTAAATTAAAAAAATGTATATAAAAAAAGCAAGTGGTATTCCATTGTATTTAAGTTAGTTATTGCAATGTAGCTAGTTTTTGCACCAGTTTAATTTCACTGTTTATGAAAAGCAGCATCTCTGAGGCCTTTATCCTTTCAGCATCAGTGAAAATGCATGTGTTTTTCCAGGACTTTCCAGCTGGAAAAGAAAGTTACAGAGTATCTTCTCTGCAGAGACCTGTTTTCTACCTGTTGTAGGACAGTATGTGATTTGCTGTTGCTTGTCTTAAACTACGTTTCCAAGCTGGATGTAGCATGATCATTCCCTAAAAAAAGTAGTCATTTTGATGAAAACCTTGCTTGCCTTTTTAGCTTGTTGGTCCTTATTAATCACAAGCTCTTTGAATCCTGTGCTATGTTCTGTGTACAGGCAGGATTGATGTATTGATTGTTTCTTTCCTAAGAGAGAGAATTCCAGAGCGTGAAGTCTTCCCTGAACCCAGCCTCTGCTAGAAACTTCCACAAATTGTCTTGGCATTGGTATGATAAGTTTGTCAGCCATCTACTCTGTATGCTGAATTCCTGTCACTGATGCTAAGTATCTTAACCCCCCCAAAAAAACAATACCTTGAATTTATTTTTAATAAGCCAAATTTCTTCTGATGTATGGCAGTAAGTCATTTTTTTCCCTTTTCTCCTTCATCTCACACGTCTTGCCACTTACGCTGCTGTACCACTATGCTGTACCTTTTAATAAAGGACGAGTTCTTCAGCAACAAAGAGAAGAGAATGTTTTCCCAGTGGAAGGCGGTCTATCTTTAAAGGACCTTCTCAGAGTTTTTGTTATTATATTATTCACTTTCTTAGTACAACACATATTTCACTTTTTGATTTACTTCCCATCCAAATATCCTGTATTCCTTGATAGTGTTCTCGTTTCAGCTGTTTTCCACTGAGGTTCCTGTTGTATTGATCCATTTTTGCATAACATATTCAAATTTTAAATTTAGTTTCCATGCTTCAATAGCCTGTTAGTTCTGTGGCAACACATCTTCTGCCTGTGAAATCATATGCTTGTGAAAGAGATCGAGTATTGTTATTCCTTAAACAAAGTTTGTTCAGAAAGGCATCAGAAAAAAATTTCAAAAGCATCTGTATCTCTTTGGAGAGTCAGACCCTGAAACATCTGTGTCAGTTTTGAAATTTCCCATTATTCTGTTAATTTGCTGTTACAATTTCAAGGAGCCCCTGGGATTTAGGTAGTCCTCCCATTGCATGGGATAGCAGTCACAGGCCAAGGATACTCTTCTTAAAGTTTTCAATCGGTGTCTTCCACAGACTTGCATCTTAACCTTACCAGTTCCTAACCTGTTTCCTACAGAGTAGTAAAGCAGTGTTTCTGGGGACCACTGATCTTGTGTTGGGTCGCTGGGCACTGTGAGAAAGACATCCCTGGTTAGGCCAGCACTGTCTCCGGAGGTGGATGCCTTTGATTCGCAGGACATCCAAATGTCATTTGGTACTAGATAACAGCTCAGGTTAGAGCTTCAAAGCGTGAAGTTAATTGATTATATAGCAATGGAAGGCTGTGAAAACATGACACTATTCAGAGAGAGATACAAAAATCATTACAAAATATGTCTTCATAGCTGTCTGACTTGGCTTCAGGGTTTTCCTTCCGTTTCCTTGATGTAATTAGTCATTTCACACAACTTCCCATGATCCGCTCCTTTGATAAATGCCATCTTAAATTATACATTAATGGAGGGTGAAGCATGCTCTCTTCCCAGTGGCATTTTATCCCCAGTTCATGCAACTGAGGCACAGAGACATTCAGTGAGATCTGCAGATTTCCATGCTCATCCAGCATGAGATGCAGTGTTAAGTACAAAATTCTGGTGTTCTGGCTTCGTGTCTGCTAGTCCACATTTTACTAACTTACTGTTCTTCCAAATGAATGTGAGATCCCTATCAGTCATAAACAATAAAATCCTGAAAACTGGTATTCAGTGGCCTATGGCTTGCGAAGACCTGTAAATATTGCTTTTGATTCTTTCAGAAGCGAGCATGCAAGCCGTTAGAAACCATTCCAAATGAGGCTGATGCTCGCCTCATTGACTGTGCCATGGAGCTGGATTCTAAACAGAAAATCTCCGCTGACTGTGATCCCTGGGCTACAAAGACAAAGCAAAATTCAATGGTATGTTTACACTGTCAACAACATCTGTCTTTTAGAAGAACACATTTAAAATACATTTTATAATAAAATTGCAAATAATTGCCCCCCCTTTTTTTTGATGGTGTTGTATATGTTTTTGTTCATTAGATTTTTGAAAACCATGGAAGCAGAGGTACTGCCCAGCCTTGCCCAAGATGTATTGCTGGAGAATCTGTAAGTATATTAACCTTCTTTCTGTGACATAAAAGATAGACTTGTTCTTAAGTATTAGATCCATAAAACATAAAGTTAATAAAAACCGCAATTACATTTCTCAGGAATAAAGCATGTAAATAAAAGAAGGCAGATTGATTTAGCATTTCTGAGGTACGCAGCAGAGCACAAACTAATATGTTTCCAGCAGCAGTTGGAAAATATGGAGACTGTGAACACATTTTTCAAATTCACTCTAAAAAGCAGAGTTTAGGAAGTAACTGAAGCAAACACTAACATACAACTTCCTCTACCCCATTTTTATATTGTCCTTGATTTACTGGATCATACTAAAATATTCAGGAATCCCATTCTATCTCCTATTTTTTCCTCTAATTGGATACTTCCTTTCCAACGAGTAGACATAGCCTAAAAATATTACACTGTAGACATACGAGAGCTAGTTTTAAACAAGCTAGCTAAAGAACCAGGAGCAATCAGAGCTCGGCATAGACAACTTGACATTCCTGAAAAACAGTGCAAGTATTTGGACAGCTGAATAATGCTGACTTCTGAGCTGATTCAGATAGGCTCCTCTTGGTATCCAAAGCAAGCTGTTTAAAACCCGTATTTTTCTTTTATGTAGGCTGTAGTCACAGCTGTGACTTGGCACCATGTAGTATGCTGTAATATTGCAGCAGTAGCAGTAGAATCTCCCACTAACAGATGACTGTGATCTTAACCACTCTCTTTTTAGCCCTGGATAGAAGGCCAAAACCCTCAAGAGATAACGGCTAGTAATAGTGAAAGAGGTTATGGTATTCCTACAGTTTAGTTTTTCACGCAAATTGTCTAACCAAAGTTTAGGAAGTTTCTTAAATGTATGGGAGCTACTCTTGACTTCTGTTTGCATCCTCTGCATCCTTTTGAACCATCATACAGGATTCCTTACAAAGCCAAAAATGAGGAGAGGTGTGGAGGAATGCCATGCATTTCTTCAGAAAGGCTGAGTGTTTATAGCAAAATCTTTGATTTGATGGAATTAATGGCAAGGTTTCCATTGAATGCTATGAGGCTGAGGTTGCTGTCATAAGTCAGGAGCTGTGACTGAAAAGACATTACTGTGTTAACTTATTGCTGCTCATCTTTAAAAATAAAATAGAAACCAGATCCAGGGCTGCCTTTAGGAATACGGAAACCAGTATGACCACATATGTGGATTACCAAGTTTGAACTTTCCAGATATGTTACCGTCTTTGGGGACATGGAGAACATCTCGGGGATTAAAAAACAAAAAAAGAAAAGAACATCTTGTGATTAAAACCCAAATTGGCACATTAGGAAGTAAATTTTGTTGTATTCCAGAATTACAGTGACAACATTAGAGTTTGTAAAAATCTTCTATATCAGTGACCACTTAATTTTGGAAAATTATGACTGAGTACAAATACCATAATTCCAAATAACACCATTTCTGTTTTAAATCAGATTAGCCTGTTGGTTTTTTCCTATGGCCTAGTAATGAACTTGATAAAAGCCAGATAACTTGAGGAGTCAACATTCATCTCTTCCACAAACATTTATGTATTGAAGTTTGGTTATAATGGATGACCTATTCACTTTTAAATGCTTTTCAGCTACAGCTGTAAGAAACAAGGAAAACAACTTGCTAACTTTACTCGGTGAGAACCAGAATCTCAAAACTAAAGAATTCTTCTACTTGACTGTCCCTCTGTGCTTTCAATATAGAAACTCAAGGTAGTGTTATAAAAATCTGGAGTCCTTGTAGAGCTACTTAGAAGGCTTCTTGCTAAATTAGCCTCATATTGTTGAGTTGAAATGGAAAACGCTTTGCTCAAGGCAGGGTGATTTTAAATATGACTGATTTGAAGCATGATTCTGATTTCCATGATGTACCCTGTAGTGGGGGAAAAAGTTTACTCATGTGTGTTGCAAAATGTCAAATATAAATTAAAGTTTAAGAAGCAACATACAATGTTTGGTAACGGAATCATGAAGTTAGCGTATATATTCAGTTCTCCATTATTTGAGTCATGGGGCTGGAACAATCTGGATGAAAGAAAAATATGGCTACTCTTGCACAGGTATCTTGCTCTTGCAGAGAGGAGGGACTCTTCTGCTCCCAGTTTCTGTTAGGAGAGTTTTCTAGTTTGGACATAATGCCACACAAATACAGGACTAGAGCAGCCAGAACTGTGTTCTGGTATAGCTGAATTTATGTCATGTTAAGCAAGCACAACACCCTGATGTAAATGGGCTTGTGTGAGTGTCCTTGCATTCACAGCATGATTCATATGTAACCTCTCTACCTGTCAATGATGCACTGATTGTATAGATTTGTTAACTGTGTCCTCTTTGGATAATCAGTTATTTGTGCCCAGTGACATAACAGATAATTCAGTTATATTTCAATAAATTTGGTAGGAATTATATTAGTAAATTTTCTTCATTCTTAAAATAATAAAAAGCTTATACTAAGAGTATAATGTCTAGTAAGCCAGTAAGAGCTCAGAAAACTTTCTTTAGTTAAAATTTCACTTCAGGAAAACCAGGCTGTCACAGTGATTAACATGCATCATGGAAGTCCTTCAGAACAGCTGAAATGAACAGAAGGGAGGAGCCTACAGATAGCAAGATAAAGAATGTTATAATTTTTTTCGTAATCAATAATAATGTTAAAATCCTATAAGAAGCTTTATTCTACTAATGGTAGGGAAATTCAAATAAATTAAAACATCCAAACTGGAACAATTCAAACACAAAGCATGTTGGACTGAGAAAATTTTTCGTTGTTGTGGGTAGTGTTATCAGGATTGTATTCTGCATCAGGAAGTCCTAATACTTAAGCTAATCAGTCATGTGAGGAACTTGACTAACATCAGCCTTCCTGAACACGTTTAATTCTGTGTCACTACTGTAAGTGCTGTGAACTTCAAATTGTATTTGAAGGCAGTATCACTATTTGGTTTGCTCTCTTAACTTTTAGAGCTCTTTTGATACATTTAATGACTACCACATCTTTCAGAAGGAATGATAGATGTGTATTAAACCACAATTTGAGAAAAGAGTACTACTATAGCTGCATTTTTTGTAAGTTTTCTTTGGACTAATACGTTATTGACTATTTAGGCAGGGGCTTAGAAGAAGAGGAAGAAGTGGTGTTAACTAGAAGGAAATTAGGTAGGATTTCAGGGTGGGAAGAACACCACCATCATTCTTGAGATTTTTCTGTGTTACATGATAACTAGAGGTAATGCTTTTTTTTGTTCTAAAGTATTACTGTGAATACATTCTTTTAAAAAATACAATGTGATATAAATAAATGAAGACTTGAGTTTAAAATAAAAGTTGCCAACCAGAAAGTAAATTTCTGTTCTATCCTCAAAATCTTTAAACATTTAATGGTAGAATAGAATAAGGTATACAAGCATGATGCTAAAATTGTCTATATTCTCTATGGGTATATTTTAACCTCATGTGCAAAACTAGTATCATAACTCAGTCATGCTCCTTATATAGATTACACTGAATGGTCCATTTACTGTCCAAACTTTTTAGTTATCCATTAGTCCTTCAGGAAAAAAAAGGGGAAGATTTGTGATACAGTTAGTGGGACTGACAGTTTCTTTTAAAATAAAGTTTGAAAACATATACTGAGAAAGAGACTTCAGTTTTTGATGAGATAATTTTTAGTGACATGAAATTTTGTCATTTCAGGGACACTTCAGTCATATCCTGGGCTTCTAGAAATTGAGAGACGGCAAGTCAGCAGCACTGCTTTTCTGTTTACATTCTAAACATGCACCTGTGAACCCTGTACAGCTGGATATCTGTACATTCACTCACGGCGTGGATTTGTATGTGGTATTCAGCATATAGCAGTTTGCTGTATGTGTTACTCTTTTAGTGCACAATGATGGATATCATTGTTTTTACACTTGAAAAAATGCTTCTGCTTTTAAGGTAGCTCGATATATGTTTAAAAAAAATTTGATTTAATGTTTTAGGCTAGTTAAGTTGATCTGGCCTTTGGCCCAGTCTTCACCTTGGACTGGGCCGAAGGTCATGTTGATACAAGAGATTTTCCTGTCTCTCTTGGGCACTTTCTCTGATACTCTTGGAAAACGGTCCTTGCATTTACATGTGTACAGGGCCTGCAGTTTTAGCTCAGCCCTATATATGCAGGCAGATATGGGAGGACAGAAGTGTCTTCATTTTTAGATGGCTATTCAGCTTTGCAGCTGTGAAGGCCAGTAAAAATCCTGTTGAAACTTATGTTTAAATCCAAAATATGCATCCAATTCAGATATCTTACATGTTATACTTCTACTTTGTTTATAACAAGCAGTTTGTGAATGTGGTAAGTAACTAATAGAAAAAAGAGTATTATTTGAACAACCCTCTATAAAGTGAAGATGAATAGTAATTTGGAGTCCTCAAAAAGTTGTTAAGATACCATCTGACACTCCCTGACTCTGTCTTTCCAGTTATTGTGATATTAGAACAAATCTGTTTAAAAAGTCTTGAAGTTGTCATCTAGCATAATTTTATTGGTTTGTCACAAATAATTTCATCTACATTTTGCCAGTATGTAGGACTATGTAATTTTTAAACACATTCAGATTTTTAGACTCTTAGGTAGCTGAGTTGTGCTATTTGGGTGTAACACTTCACTGGCTGCTCTGGTTTAGGCAGAAGGGTCCTGAAAGCTTAGAACTGAATGGCAGCGTGTTAACCCTCTGCACCGGAGGGAAATTGCTGTGACCTGCCAAAGTTCACAAAGCAAGCAATCTCCACTGTCTGGAGAACTGCTGAGCTATAACTCTGCCCTGCTGCCACTCAGCTCTCAGGCAGAGTTCAACCCAAAACAGATACGGCAGGCATAACAGCATTTGGCCTCTCCTGTTCTGAGAGCAACCAGTAGCCAGTTTAAATTAAAATGGTAGCTCTGAAGTTGCAAAAATCTAGTGACAGGCTTTTAAAGGTTAGTTTCCCAGTGGGTTTTATCAGACTGCAAAATCCTTAGACAAAGGTTCTTCAGAGTCCTAAAATGCTTCCCATATTGTGCGTGAAGTTGTAGCTGGCACTGAGTTGACTGCTATTAAGGAGATTCTTCCTAAATGTATGACTATCATATAAATACTGAATTCAATTAAGTAATAGATAAGGAAATAAGTCTATAAAGCAGACCTGCACTAAATTGGCATATAGACTATTTGGTTAGGAAGGAATAAGTTTCCTCCACGCCAATATAAATTTTAGTTACATCAAAAATAAGTATTTTCAAAGAGAAATTTTTCAGACACTTCAAAATTTTCTTCAATCACAAGAACAGTACAATCCCTTAAAAGATCAAATCTCCAAGAAGCACAGCGGTTTTAAAAATTGTATTGTCCCTGTCACCTTGAAGATCTGAAACTCATCTTGAATCCTCCCACTCCCAATGCAGGTTGATGCAAGCAATAGCATCTATCCAAGCTAGAAAGGAACATGTCCTCACTTGAAATGACAGAATGATGAGCAAATTCCTGCATACTGATATCAGAGTTTATCAATTAGTGCAAAATAAGAAACAAAAATGTTTCCTAAAGACTGAAATTACATATCTGTTACCAAGATAACTAGATCATATTTTGTGGGCAGTTCATTTTCACAACATTTTCCAACCCTTGTTTTTTAAAAATCCTGCTAACAATGGCAGTCAAAAAAAAGATGGCTAAGCATCAGTCCCTGTGCTGTAAAAGTTGAAATAAAGTAAAAGGCTAAACGGTATCTGAAGGTTTAGTTACTGCAAAATGACTCAAAACCTGTTATGCTTTATCAAGTAAAATGTATGACAAGTAATGATAGTAGAACAGTGTATGGTCAAAATTTAGGGTATCCAAAGAAGAGAATATCAAAAGTAGACTTGGACTCCATGATGGAACAGTTTTTTGCTAGAATATATTTGAGCAAAGTAGTATGCCATCATGTTTAAAACACGGAGGATATGTGTATGGATTATCAAACCAAAAGGGTGCTTTTCATTTAAATAATTCAAATTTTATCATGTTAAGAATTCACAGATACTAGTGCATATATTTCTTCCATTTGCTTTAAACTTAACTGTATTTTAGTGTGGTATGGAATATGGTAAAACATAGAAACAACTAGTTTTCCTTATGGTCCTCACAGGTTTTGTGCCATGTTCTTTTTAATTCTTCTCCTTTTAGAATAAACATTACTTGTTTTTTGTAAAAACTTATCGTACATAAGTCACAGGACTGGTCATAGTTCGTGGCTGCATTACAGAGGCTGATGAACTCATACTAGTGTTCGATTTTTATGTAGTTTTTTCATATCAGTCTTCCCATTGTTACTGTACACTGTGTAGGTATTTTATTACGCTCTCCACCCTGAGTCTCAAGACTGTCCTTGGAGATTACTGCATCTGTACAGCTGAAGAAAATAGGAGAACTTTATCCTATTTTTCACTCTGTTACCTGCAGTGTGAACGTGGGCCTGTTGTGCTTTCTCTACACTGTTAAAAATGTAATGCTGCAGTTTACATCAAGTCTGATTAGTAGTTATGTTATTTACATGTACACTTTGAACATCTAAATGCTGTACTATAGAAACTAAACTTGAGTAAAATGGCCCTAAGTAGGGTTCTTTTTGTTTCTTTTTAACTATAGCTTTTTGCATTCTCCAGGAACACAATATAGGGTATGTCAGATCAATTCCATAACAATATTTAAATAAAAAAAGAACCACCTCTGTTACCCTACCAATTTAATCTGTTTTGAGAATGAACTCTAAAAAGGAGTGTAGAAATAGATTAGCTAGTGGAAGGTTAACTCCCCTCATTTTCAGCCTATCCCAGTTATCACTTTCACGTAGTTATACTGTTGTCAATAAAATACACTAGAATAGAAGAGGAATGAAAAACGCTTCATAGTTACCATCTCTGCTGCATCATAACACAATTTGTAATGGAAGAGTGAGTATTAAAAAAAAAGGTTTTGATACAGAAATGTGATGCCTTTCTTCCTTAGCAGATTTCTACGAAAACCCGTCTGTATCTTTCTATTCCTTCAGAGTTGATAAGTGTTTTAGTTTTTGCATCCCTAACATTTCAGTGTCCAGGATAATCTTCCCTAGTTATTTAACTGCAAAAGCACCAGACTGGGTCAAATGGGAACACCTAGTTCGATATTCTATATGCTCTAGTGACTAGTAGCAGGCAGACGCATGGGAAGAGTCCAAGAAACAGGACGCGTGCTGCATGGAAAGACTTTTTACAAATACAGAACCAGTGTTTTATATCAGGTTTTGTTGCAGGCGTCCTTTCTTGCCTCATAGCTAAGCTTTGAACATCAAATATCACAGAAATTATGAAAACGTCAATAGTTTCCCATAGTATTTTTTTCTTTGCTATTGTTTGTTGATATAAAAAATGCATTGGCTATCAGGAGAATGTTAAACTTGACTTTGCTCTTTTTATTCAGCATTGGAATCTTCAATATTTAAGAAGTCATTTCTGTATGACTAGAATTCAAGTGTGTGTGTATACTCACACTTAATTTGCACAGCGTAGGGATACTCTTCCTACTCTTTGTCAAAAATAGCAGCTCCCTCCTTTCTGTTTTTCTTGAGTTGGCTTACAATATAAAAAAAAACCCTGAGACCTTTGGGAGCTGTAGTTCAAGGCAGGAGGCAGAAGGGTAACTGCCCTGTACCTTTTTATTAGTGTTCTACATTCCTCCATGTTGCAGGAGGCCGTTAAGTCCTAACAAAAACTTGAACAGATTTTTACTTACATTTCTGGTAATGCTACTGCTGATAAATAAAGTATTCTGGCTAGACGTACGTTTCAGTTATATTCTGTCTAAAGGATCTCAAAGTGAAATAACTGGTGTTGCTCACTTTGTGAGCCGGGGTTTACGTCCAAGGGTTCATTGCTTTGCGGGGCAAAGCAGCACCTGCTGCGGGTGGCTGTGCCTGCTTCCCTGCAAAACGGCTGCTGGTCTTACTCATTCTGAAGTGGTAGCTGACTAGAAACGTGTTTAGCTGTTTAGGAATATCATTGTTATCCCTGATTTTTTCACAAGTGAGAATGCGTACATTTCTGGATAAACTTTCAAGTGAATTTTTCAGCTAGAATGTGATTCCTTGCTCCGTGCTTTCTCATAGGGGAATGAATGCATTTATAAATCAGCCAGTATGAAAACAAATTGTAGTTTAATAGTTTACTATATTGAAGGCTTATAACAATGGTATTCTTTTAAATAGATGTACTGTGTTTGTAATTTGTTTCAGGATTTGTCAGTCAGAATCATAAAGCTATTGTGATAGGTACAGATGAATGCCGTACGGGTTGGGACAGGTGAATGTTTCTTTAAAGCAGATTTGTGTCAAATCTGCAGTGGAACCACGAAATTATTTTTGTAAGACTTTTCTTCACCTTGTATAACTATGAAATTTTGTTTTATTGATAAAAATTATATACTCTTTATATTTCCTAATGCTGTGGTTTGTACACAAAATCACCTGAGTGATACTGTATTTACATGTATATAGTAAAATAGGCATATGATCTGTTTTTAATTCAGGTTAAAATTATATAATCTAATATTTTTAACTTTGTATTTTGTAAATTGTTACTTACAAAAGCAGAAGCATTAAACACCACTGTGGCTACAGTATGAAACTGACTGGTTTTGTTATTCCATTAATAATTGAATTGTATTCTGCAGACACTAAGGTATAAAGGTAAATAAAAACTGTTTGTAGTTTGTATTATATACAGTTTCATTTGTGCGGTATAGCCCACACAGTGTTTCCCCCCTCATGGGCCAGATGTATGAATGATATGCAGAATCAATATTTTGAAACAAAGTAATTCCTCTACAGGTTTGGTTTAATAGAGAGTTAAACATTAATATTTTTCAACTGATCCCTCTCCATCTGTGTCTCCAGATTCTGTTTTTCCTCACCTAGTTGGAACACCTGAGGATCAGACCCGAGTTCCTGTGGATTTCAGTAGAAACGTAGGTGTCTAGATACCTTCCTGAATCTAAACTGTGAGCTCCTTAAACTATTGCTTTATTTAGATTATCATTTTGCTTCATAGCAGTGTGGTTTTGAAGCGAATCCCCTGACCACTGCCACTTGCTGCGTGTCCCTACAGTTGGTCACGCAGTTTCAGTGCACACGAAATGGTTTCTTTCAAAAGGAGTCTGCCCTGGGACCTCCGCTCCAGCTGCATGTCAGGTTCTCCCCATGGGAGTCTGAACCTTGGGCAGCTCCTGCTCAGTGCAGCAGGCTAAATTTAGTCCAGCGTAAAACCTCCAAACTATGTGCGGTGTAGGTGTAGGGGCCTTAACAGGAGCTGCTGCGATAGACTGCTCACCTACCGGATCCAACTGCATGCTGGTGTGCTCCTAAGCTTGGTTGTTCTCTTCTTAACCCAAAAGAGAGTTCGTTGCCTTGTGCTCTGAAGGTCTGCTGTTGCAGGGTACAGGGCAATCACTGCCCAAACCCTTCCTGAGACTCGGGACGGCTGGTAAACCACAGACAGGCTGCATGCTGCCCTTCAAAGCCCTTGCCTTAACTTGCCATTTCTGCAAAAATCTTCAAAAAAATAAAGTGAAACTTGTTTGATAAGTAAGTACACGTTAACTTGCTTACTTGCTTGCATTGATTTCTTTCTGGAGAAAAAGGGTTTTAACTGTCTGCCTTGGAAAAGTCTAACCTGGGCCACTCAGGAAAGGCTAACGGTCCTGGAGCAGGAACGATGGACCTCAGGAACAGCAGTATTGAAACAAAGGGCAGGGGAAGGATAAAGGCGTCATTTTTTGCTTACTTTTTTTTTCTTTTGTCACCTATTCTTACATGTATTGAGGGTGAAGTAACTTTGTCTGTATATAGATGAACAGGATTTTAGCTGGTTAGCATTGTACGTACATTTTGTATAAAGGTAAGCAGATGAAGCACAAGACGAGAATTCATCCTGGTTTGATGTCTGGAGTAGCAAGAAGCACAAGAGTGAATGTGAAAGGGGTTGGATAAATGTAATATTGATGAAAATAATAAATATATTATCTATGTTACGTAAAATTTTTGTACTAGGTTTAGTTGCTTTAGACTACGGTACTAGCATTCGCTTAGCTATTCATTTGATGATAATTACACATCGACTTCTCATCTTGACTGCCAAAAAAAGACGGAACAACAAAATTTTGAGTTTAGTATGTGGGGTTTAAAGGCAGTCTGTATATGACTAACCATGAAGACAAGAAATTTATACAACATACATGTTGAAAATTATATATTTAAAATTAGCGGTGTTTATGTCTAAATTAGTAGGGAAAACTGTATACATATTAAAACCTCAGCAGCCCTCCTGAGAACCCCGTATGGTGCTTCCTGGGAAAATAATATGATATCCTGTATTAACAGATTAATAGTCACACATTAATAATGCTATTTTTGCCTTGATTACTGGCAGTAAGTATAAAATTCAGAGTTACACCTTGACATTTTATCACACATGAAACTTCCACACAGGATGACTGCCCATAAACACCACATATGCAAAAATGTACATATTGCTCTGAGAAGCACCAAGGGCTTCAATTGCTGGGGGACAGATATTTTACTAAAGTGACTGTTACTGAAAACTAAAGTCCACAGGTAGAGTGGGAAATGTCCCGCGTCAAGGGGCACCAAGACTCGTCTGTTGCACTGTCTTCCCGAGTTGTTCCCAACTCTTTCACAAGTAAGCAAGAAAAACATTGGCCATCTTGTTTTCTTTTTAAACACATACAAAAAGAAAAAAAAAAAAAATCCCAGGCAGATCAA